CAGCCAAGGCCGGGGGGGGGGGGGACGCTGAAGTGGGAAGGCGCATTCAGAATGAGCCCGGAATGGCCTGATGGGTGGGCGGCGGCAGTAAACTCGGGTTTATGTGTGTCTCTCTCTCCCCCATCTCGCTGTTGCTTTCTAGAAGTGAAAGACGCCCTCGACCCGCTCTATGCCTGTTTATCGGGGGTGGGATGGGGGACCCGGTTGTTGCTCGTGAGATTTCGGAGAGCCAGCCTGTTCCGCAGCCCCTTGCAAAATTGCCTCCCCCTCCCCTTTCCCTCATTAGCACAAACCAACCCCCCAGCGCTTGGGGCTTTGCCTCCTACAGTCGCCTAAATCCCCTACTCCCGAGTAGACGCCACGGGAAGACCCAGAATTAGTTCTGTCTCTCTGTAACATCATTCTCCCCCCCCCCCAAGACTCCTGTTTAAATTTCTACTCAACCCGCGGCAAGATTGCCAACTTCCCTCACACACAAACACCGGCAGTGCTCCTCTGCCGCTACTGCTTAACTCAGCTGCCGTAATCGGGGTTGTTGTTTTTTTTAATTGCTGTTTTTAATCGAGTATGAAAGGGGAAGAGCCCCACAAAGAAGAAATCCGGCACCGACTCCGCCTCTCTCTGCTCTCGGTTCCTTAGGCAAGTTTCCTTGGAGCTGGTGCATCCCACCTGAAGGTAGAAAGACTTGCTTCCGAGTAAACCTGCAGCTGCTTCAGGCCGCAAAGCTTTCTTGTGGAAATGTGGTACAGGGGGCTCGAAAGCGCTCCGCAGAAAGGGGGGGGGGAGCCCTCAAGGAAATTCTTGGTCCTCCGCAGAAACGCCTGTTTTGCATCTCAAAAGTTGATCCAGTTACCCGAAAAGCCAGCAGGCAAGCGGGAAGGAAGCAGCCATTAAAGAGATTGTTGGGGTAAAAAAAAACACACACACACACATTCAAACTCAGTTCAGGACAGAGAAAGCGCACCCCTTGGGGCTAAACCTCCCTACAATTTTTTTTTGGGGGGGGGGCGAAAAGGAGCCAGAGTCGGAACCGGAGCCCGGAAAAGTTGTAACTTTGGGCGGCGGGGGGAGGGGGGCATACCCAGCCTGGTCAACTCCTCTGCGTCAGGGGCCTGCCGGGGTCTGCGCGCTGATTGGCTGCCGGCTCCACATTTATAGGCCGTCAATCAAAGGCCCCCAGAGAAAGACTGGAGAGGCGAGTGGGTCGGAGGGACGCACAACTTTGGGCAGCGGGCTGCTCAAGACGCCGTCGAGGGTCTCTTTCTGTCTCTCCGAGGGGACTGCGCGGCCGGAAAAGTTGGCCCGTGGAAGGAGGTGGACTGAGTCTCAGCTGCGCTTCTGCTCCTCCGGGCCTGACTCGCCCCCCTTTAGGCAGCCACGCTGGCGCATCTTCTTCAAGCTCCGGCCATGTACAGCATGTTGGAGGGTGAGCTCAAGCCCCCCCAGTCGAACCCTGGAGGCGGCTCGGCAGGGAACGGCATCCCGGGCGGCGCCGGCAAAGGAGGCGGCGGCGGAGGGGGCGGAGGAGGAGGAGGAGGGGGCGGCGGCGGCGGGGGGAACGGCGCGACGGACCAGGACCGGGTGAAGAGGCCCATGAACGCCTTCATGGTGTGGTCGCGGGGCCAGCGGCGCAAAATGGCCCAGGAGAACCCCAAGATGCACAACTCGGAGATCTCCAAGCGCCTCGGAGCCGACTGGAAGCTGCTGAGTGACTCGGAGAAGCGGCCCTTCATCGACGAGGCCAAGCGGCTGCGTGCCGTCCACATGAAGGAATATCCGGATTATAAATATCGGCCCCGTCGGAAGACGAAGACGCTGCTCAAAAAGGACAAGTACTCTTTGCCGGGCAACCTGCTGGCGACGGGAGGCGCCGGCGGAGGCGCAGTGAGTAGCCCCGTCGGAGTCGGGCAGCGCCTGGACTCTTACGCGCACATGAATGGCTGGCCCAACGGCGCGTACGCCTCGCTGATGCCCGAGCAGCTGGGCTACAGCCAGCACCCGGCCATGGGCAACGCGCAGCTCCAGCCTATGCACCGCTACGACGTGAGCGGTCTCCAGTACAGCCCCATCATGTCGAGCGCGCAGCCTTACATGAGCGCGGCTGCCTCCACCTACAGCATGTCCCCCGCGGCCGCCGCCGCAGCCGCCGCCGCCTACGGGCAGCAACCGTCGGGCCATTCCATGAGCCTGGGGACTATGGGCTCCGTTACTATGGGCTCCGTGGTGAAGTCCGAGCCCAGCTCGCCGCCGCCGGCCATCACCTCCCACTCCCAGCGGGCCTGCTTGGGAGACTTGCGGGATATGATCAGCATGTACCTCCCCCCGGGGGGAGACGCGACCGACCCGTCGACGCTCCAGGGTACCCGGCTACACAGCGTCCACCAACACTATCAGAGCGCCGGGACTTCGGTGAACGGCACCGTACCACTAACTCATATCTAGCCGTGGGCCCCCTCGGATGTCCCCTTTGCGTCGCCTCCCCGAGTGCTCCCATTGTACCACCCGTTTATTATAGCCGGGGAGAGGGGGTTGACTCGCATCCAGCCAGCCGGTTTTGGACTGCTCCCAAACGCACGTCCATCTACGTCTCGGGGGTCACGTCGCCCCCTTCCCACGAAGCAACTAACTCGCTTTTAACCAGGTTCTCCCTCTTAACTTCCAAGCAACTGAAGTTCTGGGGGCGGAGTGCAAAGCGGTACAAGCCGAGCTTTCCTAACTAACTCCGTTCAAAGGAAATGTGTTTTTTATGTGTAAAAAGTGAATTACTTGTTTGAAGTTATAGAGCACAATTTTACTGCTAACTTGTACAGGAACTGCTGTGAAAGACTTTTCTCCCCTCCAGTTCTACAGCAGGGTTCTGAACAAAAAGGGGGGGGGTCTCTAGCTTTGTGTGTTGGGGGGCGGATTTTTAGAGATGAATTCTGAACTGTTCTGAAAAGGAGGAATGAAATCGTGCGTTCCGCTTGTCTCAAGTTTAATGTTTACAGTTTTGATTGTATGTGTGTGTGGGGGGGGTGGAATTTTGTCTCTTCCTCCATAATCCTGGGCTGGAGTCCTCTTTTTTTTTTAATTCTCTATTTTTTAAAGAAAAGTGTAACTTGATGTGTGCACCTGCTCCGTTAACTCGCTACAACTTTTAAACTCGGAGATAAGTTTCTTTTTGGAAAGAAAGGGGTCTCCTTCTAATTAAGCCTCGACATGGGGTGGAGTGTCTTGCTTGGACGAGGAGGTTCCAACAGAGCAACTAGGAGGCGGGTGCGAATGGGGAGTGACTTCGAATTGGTGGGTTTTGCATTCTAAGTGGTGCGAGTTTTCAGGCGAGGTGGAAGGGCTGTGGGGGGAGGTTTCGGGTTTTTTGTTTATTTTTCCCTGACGCTTGTATATTTCTGTACATTTTATTATCCCCCCCCCACACACACCCTCCCCGGATTTGAGAGTGGCATAGTTTGGAGAACATATCGGTCCTACGAAGCAGCTGTTCTAGGTTTTTTTGTTTTTTTAATTTTTGTTGTCTCGGGTTTCTTTTGAAGAGATGGTTCCTCCCCTCGAAGACAGAACTTTACAAAAGAACAATAAATTTTATAACATGCCCTACAGACGTCTCGCTGGCCCTTCTTTTTTTGTAAAGGGGGGGAGAGAAAGTCTTAAAATCTGGGCTGTGGGGGAGGGGTGCCTTAACTGCGTCGGGATGACTCGGGAGTAAGCGGCCGCAGGGCTGCGGCTGGCATGAGGGGAGCGACGCCGGCCTGCTGGCATCTGCGTCCTGCAGCGCCCGGCGGAACGGCGGTTGTATTCGGGATTTGCGTGCCCTGGGGACAGGCGAGGCTCCGGCCCTCCTGGGTGTTGGTGGCCCGCCCGGGGATTTCTGCAGTGGGTCACAGAAATGAAGAAGGCGAATAGTGATGCCGACCTCTTAACTGGGTCTTGAATCGCGCCAAAGAGTGCAAAAGTTTAAAAAAAACTCTATAATGGGCACGGTGGGACTTTACGGGAGTCCGTGTGTGGAGGAGGGGGTCGGCTTCACTGTCTTTCGAGGACTGGAGGCGGTGGCGTCCCTCCGAAGGGGTCCCCGAACTTTTCGCGTGGCTCGGATCGTTCCCAGGAGAGATGCCCTTCGAAGCCGGGCATCTCCCTTGGCTGGCACGTCAAGAGAACTAGCAGCGGCGCCTCTCGGTTTCCTCCGTCCCCTGGAGACGGTAGCAGCAATCCGGCGCCTTTACGCCCGAGGGGCTCGCGGGAGGCTCTTTGGAACTCCGTGCCTGGAATTTTCACATCTTGAAACCGAGCCTGGGTTCTAACTTTACTTAAACTTTCTCTCCCCCCCCCCCACCTTTAGAGTTGCTTCTTTTCTGGCTAAGAGCAGGGCTGCTAGCCCGTGGCCGCTTCCCCCTGGAGGCAATAGGTCTGCGAAGGAGTAAGCGGTTACCAGGGCGAATAACTTTCTCCCTCCATCGCCCAGAGTGTCGAAATGGTCCTTGATGGAACCAAACTGGGAAGCAACTTCACTTTGGAAGGCTGGCAGAGCCTGGGCCAGGAGAAATCTGACCCGCCCGGTTCTCTCATGTATACTCGAAAGTAAGTCCTGCCGGATTCATAGACCCTGGCAAGTATATAGGAGCGCAGCTTTAAAAGTGGGGGGGGGGGGGGGAAAAAAAAGAAGTGTATTTAAAAGGGGGGGGGGGGGGGGGAGAAAAGCAAGCGATGGAAGAAGTCGTCGGGTTTCAAGGGTTTGCCTACTTGTTGCTCATCCCAGGTATTTTTCCCCCTTTCCCAAAGCAAAGTAGTTGTTCCTGATCTCTCGTTCGTAAAGCAGAAAGGTAAGGGGGGGGGGCTTGTTGGGCGGGCGGAAGTACCGTGTCCGGACCTGAAATATTTACAGGTGCGACTCTGCTGGGAGAAACCTTAATTAGACTCTATAAAAAATTAATTAGGGACAGGACTCCCCAACGCTCTGAATAATTGAATTCCTTGATTGTGTGTTTTGCGATGATGTTTCCGCGTTTTTTCTTGCCGAAAAAGGCTGACCTAAAAAACATTAGTATTTTTTTTAAAAAAAAAGAAGAAGAAAGAAACCCAGTCTCTAGATTGCTCTGAAATAACCCTCCACTTCAGAACGCGATTCACAGCTGTGATATTCCTACCGGAAACTGCTTGATGAAAGAGTTTTGTGAAAACGAACGAGATAATTCAAAGACCTCGAGGAGACTCCGAGGGACTTGAACAAATGTAATGATAAATGTTATTATTTGTGTTGTTTATCTCTCCCCCCCCCGCCCCCAAAAAACCAACACTTGGAGCAGAAGCGTCTTTCGATTCACACAAAAATAGTTCGAGCTTTACTTGTCCAGATTAATTGTGGCGTAAGGCGGAGTGCTGTGTGAATAAGGTATCTCCAGGACCCCGGCTACTGGTTTAAACAAGGTAACGTTTTATAAGCCCGAATTTACTTCGAAGTAAGACGCTCCCGCGGCCAATAGATTTAGACCTCTTATTAAATTGACTTTCATTTCTGTTTCCCCCATTCTAACTCTGGAAGAGAGGCTTGGAACGGCAACGTCTTCCGCGAGGACAGCTTTTAACCGGGCTGCCTTGTGTAGATTTACTTAAAAATAACCCCCTACTTCATCCAGTGGGGCTCACTCCCAGAGAAGTGTGAAGGGCTGCTGCAGCCCACAACTATCTTCTGCTTTCCTGTTTGTTGAGAAGCCAGTGCTCCGAAGTAGGCAGCCGCCTCCTGTGTCCAGCAGGGCTAATTTCAGAGCAAATTGAATTAGGGAAGCTGCTTGCGGGAGGGAGGAGGGGCTTTTGCATCCTCGGGAAATGGTTTTCCTGCCGTCGGCGGGGCGCGGGGCGCCTCCTCTCCCTGTAACGAAGAGTTCTGAAATCCGCCTCCAAAAGAGGGACGGCCAGGACTGAGACGGCCGGCGCTCCCTTTGCCCTTGGGGGTCAGCCGATGGGGAGAAGTTCCAAAGGGGAACTGGGTTCGTCTCCTTGCTTAAAATTTGGGGAGCAGTCTCAGAGGTACAGCCCCAAACGCGCTTCCTTAAAACTTAAGGCACGGTTCGATGTAGTGGGGGTTACTTCGGAGTAAGTCTGGAGAGGGGTTCACGGCCAGAACGGGAGTCCAGTTTCTTCCCAGATGCAAGGGCAGGGAATTCTTTAAAGGGGTTTTTTTGAAAAGAAGGGCTTATTCAGGCAGAATCAACAGGTTTCCGCCTCTCCTCCGTGCTTCCCCACGAAGCCGCTGCTGGAAATCAGTTGCTACTTCTGATAGAAGGATGGGGGGGAAATCACACAGAGAACAAGGTTTGGAGAAGGGGGAGGGTGACTGCATCCCTCTTTTATGGCTGGTTTCAACTCAGACCTATTTTCCATCTGGTGGGACTACTCTAGGGTAAGGTGGGTTTAGATGAAAAACAAACCCACTTGGGGGGGGGGAATCTATTAATTGGGGGAAAGCCTGTTTCCCTAAGACTCCAGGAGGGTACTCTTTTGCACTCTCTGTTCCCATCCCTCTATACAAAACAAGGACTCTCACGCCAAACCGCTTGTTTTCCAGCTTCATTTTACCACCTGGTACAGATGCTCCTATTTTGCAGCATTTTTAGAGACCGAGGGAGTAAAGGAAAGCTGCTCAGGGTTGGAGGGTAGACTGGCTTTTATTAGTTTGCAGGCTAGTGAAGTCACACAGCCAGAAGAGGAGTCCCTGGCAAAGCCCCCCCAGGAGGCTAAACCTGGGACTCTGCTCAAGATGGGTAGCCCGTCCTGGCACCTTAAAGACTAACCAAATTGTGGCGGGGTATGAGTCACCGCTCACTACTTCAGACACTAAGTGAGCAGTGACTCCTGAAAGCTCATACCCTGCCACAATTTGGTTAGTCTTTAAGGTGCCACTACTGGACTCTTGCTCTTTTCTCCTGGGAGTCTGACTTTTGGAACCACAACAGCACTCTGTTCAGAGTTCTATCAAACAGCAGATGCTCACTTCAACCTGCAGCTTTACTTAACACATTTATAGCCCACTTTTCTCTCTTAAGGGACCCAAAGAGACCCCCAAGCGCTTCACAACAGCAGCAGCAAAATGTAATTACAATCGTTCAAGGAAAGAAGAGAGCAATACAACTTGGGCTTAGGGGTGTACAAGCCCTGGACCTGCTCACTGCTTGCCTCGTTACCCAAAATTTAATTACTGCATGGATTGGCTACTATCAGATATAGATCTGGCCTTTAGGTTAAAGGACTTTCAATGGGGATCAGTTATCAGAGCTAAATGGAACCTCCATTCTCCAAGGCAGTATATCTCAGGGGACAAATGGGGGGAATTTGCTCATCTTGTGTGCTTCACTTGTTAGAAACAGAGGCCTGGATTACATGGACTTTGGACTGGTTCAATTAGAGTTTTAGAAAAGCTGAATGTTTCCTAAAGGCCAAGAGTCAGTGCT